TTGACATTTTTGTGGTGTAGCTTCTTCTTTAAAAGAAAAGATATTTTTCAAGTACAAAGAACAGTCCTTTGGACCTGCCTATTTAATTGCCTCTTAACATTATCACTAGGTATGTCTGACACCGCTATATATTGTGCTGCCCATTACAATCTCATGACACATTTCTGAAGCCCTTATTCCTAGCTCCCTTGTTTTCCATTCCAGTTTTTGTCTAAGCTAAAATTGAGTAAAAATTCCAGGACTAAGCACATATTAGAGCTGTTTTGTAAATAATTCAGATCTGTAATAAATTTTCAAATGTTGAAATTCATGTTTGAGAGAAACATTATTTTGTTTAAGTTTAGTCACAAAGGAGACCCATGTGAAATGAAAAATATAGAAAAGGAATAAATTTTCATTAAATGTGTAGTTGTTGCTTTTTTGGTAGGTTATAAACTATTTTAACCATAAAAGATGTACAGGCAGTCCTCGACCTACAACGTTTCAAGTTACAACGTTTCGCACTTACGTTGATAAATTGACACCCTGATTCAACTTACAACGCTTGATCCAATACAATGCATATGTCCAAAATTCCTTGGACGCTTTCTTTAAGAAAGCAGACAAGGCTCCAGAAAAACCTGCAGCCAAGACTCCTGAGAAGACTCCAGCCAAGAACCCTTCAAAAAGTCCAGCAAAGTCACCTCAAAGAAGTCCTTCTAAATCGATATGATTGCTATTTACACTAGAAATACATTAATGTAGCTATATTACTTATCTATAGTTGATTGAGTACAAAATTCTGGGGTATTTTTGGTGAAAATAGGGTATCAGGACTTGGTTTGGGAACCAATCCCTCATTTATAACATTGTTTCTTATGAGAAAATTGGTTCCGAGTTACAACGTTTCGACTTAAGACGTGTTTTTCAGGAACCAGTTGTGTCATAAGTCTGAGGACTGCCTGTATTTCCTATTTACAATCTGTATGCATTTTAATGAATTTTAGACTTGATTGACTCTGCCTTGTTATTTTCATTTATTAGTTGCATTATGGTAATACCTAGAGCAGTGGTTCTCAACATTTTTATACGCGACGCGCTCAGAGGAAAATTCCAGCTCTGTAGTTTTTACTTGTTTTTTGACTATGGAAAAATAATAAAGCAATTCTCCTGTTGAGAAGAACTTTGAAAGACCACAACAGTTCAGACTGTTTTAGAAACTATGGAATCCTATTTGAAATATTTGGTTTTATCTTGTGAATTGTGTAGATGTTGGGCACTATCTTACGGCAGAGTCATTCGCTGTGCAGAAAGCATGTGTGGACAGTGACCGGGACAGCAAGAGTTTAAGCTAGGATGAAGCGGCTCCAGGCTGGTAGCAGGCTCAGGGGGTCAGCCACCCAGCTCCACTGAGCACTCTCATGCTCCAGCCAACCCTTCTGGTGCCCAACATCGCAACCCAGAGCCTAGGCCTGATCCCCACCTTCAAGCCTGCTGCAAACCTGCAGCTGGTCCACCCCTACTCAAACTGCTGTGATCCCAGGTGCACGTGAAGATGTGGTGCCCAGGAGCAGCTGACTCCAGTGTAAAATGTGCCAGAGTTTATTGGGGCACACTAATTGCATGTGTAGATGCACCCAGTATGTAGCATGATAAATTAATATGCTGTTTTAATAGGTACAATCAGTAGTAGGCTTATCAAAAAGTAATGTAGAATTCATATGCATTCTTTTAAAATACAACTCATTTAACATTACTTAGGCAGTAGGTCAGTGCAACAAAATATACTGTTTGTTCATTATTGGTACTAGCGACAATTGTTTTTAAAGCAGCAGTTTTAAGCATTTTGTATGGAATTTTGAAATCTTTCACCATATTTTTGGATGTTTGTATATCTGGCCTTCTGCACCTGAAGTTGTTAAAGTCCTACAGCATAGCTAAACATTTCAGAACACATTATATGAAATAAAATTATTTTTCTACAAAGTCTTGACAATGAGAAGACTGACTATTTATGGAAAATGAATTCTTATGGAGAAGATAGAAACTAATGAATTGAAGACAAACAAATTCTATTATAACGAGTTCAAGGATATATTTAGCCTGACATTTGGGGCATGATATAAAGACCTTTTGTTCTGTTTTCTTAGAGGGAAGCTTTGTAACATTTGGTGTGTGAAGTAGTGCTTTACTAAGTTGCTACTCTCCTTAATTATGAAAGGACTATTTTAGCTCTAAGTTAATACTCAGCAAGTTCATCTACACATGCTATTAATGCGAAGCAATAAACTCCAGCACAGTTTGCGCTGGATTTTATTGCTCCCAGGTGCAGCATTTACATGTGCGCCCAGGACCACAACATATTCAGCCAGGTTGGTGCAGCCCCACTTGGCAGGAAGTCCAAGGCCTGCCAGCCCCAGCCTTGAGGGTGTTACAGTGTGGGACTCGCCAGCAGGTAGCTCCCACACTGTAACACCCTAGTGCTTTCGCCATCTCCAGTCACCATCTGCATGTGCGTTGTGGCAGAGTAAATAACTCTGCCATAAGATAGTACTTGTGTCAAGCAGTATATCCTATGGTGGAGTTGGTTAGTTTACTCTGGCCTAATAGGGACATACATGTAGATGGTGATACTTTACTGGCCATGCCTACACAAGACACTGACTGTGCAGTAGCCTGTGATTACTGGGAAATAGCATTGTGTGGCAGCAAGCATGATACGATGCTACTGTGCAGTAGTCTCAGGCTACTGTGCAGTCAGCGTCCACAAAAAAAAATGTTCAATGACACTATTGCACAGTAACTCTGGTTAAGAGTTTACACAAATACTAAATGACTGGTGAGTAATGACTGCGCAGTCAGTATCTTATGTAGACATGGCCACTGTGGAGCTAATTAGTCAACTCTGCAGTAAAGTGCATGTGTAAAGATGCCCCTAGCATGACAAAAAGCTATATATTATAACCCAGAGACAGATTTTAAATGTATCCTGATGATGCTGGTTTCAAACATCTTTCTAAGGTGTTGAATTTTCATTATTTTTTCTATGTTTTCTGAGGTTTACACAGCAAAGAAAGAAAATGTTTGTAAATGTTAAAATTATAGATTCCCCTTACTTGGTTAGTATTGATAAAACTATAGTACTACATCTGGCTTGCCTTAACCACAAGCCAGTAACCTCATTTGTAAAAGAGATTTTACAAGCACCTGGATTAACTTGACAATGTCAAACTCACTTTGCAGCCTGTGCCGGATCTGGGCCACAAGGCCCCTTGTAGACTGGATCCAGCTTGGGGCATGCATGAGAAGTGGCAACAGTAGCTGTGGCTCTACACAAGGCACATGGCACAACTCCAGCCCTTGCTGCATCTCCCATTGTCCCTATGAAAAAAGTGAGAAAACAGTGTCCTAAAAACAAAGTATTATTCATTTATCTACAGGAATTCAAGCAACAGAGAGGGAAAGTACTAAAACAGCTTAAAGCTTATAAACATATCATCTTACCTAAAAGTGTATCACTTCTTGCAAATTTAGGTGCATTCTATTTGTCCCAGGCAACCCCCAGCCCTGGGGGTTGCCCAGTATAGTCTAGTTCCCCCTGTAGCTTCTGTTTCAATCCAACCCTGAAAAAACACTTTCCACAACTGAGTTTAGAAGCAGCTTTTTATCCATTTAAAAGTTACTTTATTTGTCCAGAGGCAGTTCAGTTTATGCATGTCACTATGGGGTTGAAGATAAACTTTCAGCAACCCACATTTAAGCAATAAAGCTTCCTTCATAGCACGGGATTCCTGGGATCACCTAAGCATGTTTTACCTACCATTCCCTAGCGTTGTAGGGGCCAGCACATTTATTAGTAGTGCTGGCCCCTACTTGTCTCATGTGCTCTTTTCCTTTGGTGCTTTAAAGGGTATTTTTTTCAGCATGTTAATGGATGTTTTCTATCTGTGGTGTACAAGAGGGACCACAGCAGATGTTCTTGTGCAATCTTTGGGCCAAGTGCTATATTTATTACACACATGCTTGTGATCTCAGGTGGCTGGACTCAGGAGGTCCTTTCCATTCCTGTGTTTCCTTCAATAGTAATCCGATGAACAGAGGCACACACAATATTTATTTTAAAATATTATAGATATCACCTATGTTCTTCCCAAAGTCAAAATAAGTAGAAATCTATATTGCATTGTACCAAATTAAGGATCTGATCATGTTTTCTGACAATCAATAATTTAATATTTATTTAAGGAACATATGTATATGTTTTAACAAAAGCGCAAGAAGACCCCAATCCTGCAATGACTACTCTTTGAATGAGACTGCTCATGTACTTTAAATTAAGTATGTGTAATTACTTGCAGGCTTGGAATCTTAAACTGGCCTCCCAGGGGATCCTGCCCATCAGTTCCCTGAGTGCACTGAAGTCTGATTTTCTGCTGTTCAGGGTCCATACTCTGCTGCTGTCCTTCCTTCTTTTCCTCAGGACCCTGAACTCAATCATCTCATGGTTGGTGCTTCCCAAGTTATTTAGTCTAGAAAAGAAGGGACTGAGAGGAGACTTAATAGCAGTCTAAAACTTCCTGAAGGGGGGTTCAGAAGAGAATGGAGCTAGGTTATTTTCAGTGGTGGAAGATAACAGAACAAGGAGCAACGGTCTCAAGTTGCAGCAAGGGAAGCTTAGGTTAGATATTAGAAAGAATTTTCTCACTAGGAGGGCAGTAAAACACTGGAAGAGGTTGCCCAGAGAGGTGGTGGAAGGCTCTATCCTTGAGGGTTTTCAAAACCCAGCTAGACAAAGTTTTGGCTAGGATGATTTAGTTGGGGCTGGTCCTGCTTTGGGCAAGGGTTGATGACCTCTTGAGGTCCCTTCCAACCATAACTTTCTATGATTCTAGGTTGCCATCCACTTCTACGTTCCCCACCAATTCTTCCCTGTTTGTGAGCAGCAGGTCAAGAAGAGCACAGCCCCTAGTTGGTCTCTCCTCAACAGTCTCCAAAAACTTCCTGGTTTTCCTGTGTACTGCTGTATTGCCCTCCAAGCAGATGTCAGTGACTGTAATTGCCAGGCTTCAAAACAAATAGAGACACTTATGCTCTAATTTTAATTAGAGAATTTGCTATTTTTACCAGGAAATGGAAAACACCCAAAATCCAGTGCGTGTTCATGAATCTTGCAGTCTGACTTCAGAAGGATCACAAAGAAATAATGAACTCCTAGCTTCATCAGTCTCTTCATATCACCGGGGCATACAAACTATATTAACCAAGAAGTATGCAAGCAGAGCTGTGTTGCCTTCTGATTCTTATCATTTGCCAAGGTAAGTTTTTTAATTTGCTATTTTTTGATAAGCTGCAAAAATATAATATTTTTGCATTGGCAGTTTTATATTAAAAGAGGCAATTGTAAAAGATCATTTAATATTTTCACAGTAAAATTTACTATAAGTTTTCTTTGATTTGTCTGAAAAGTTCCTTAGAACACTGTGAATCTGCTGAAATGTTCTAGGTTTTGAGCAATCCAGCCTCTGAGTTTAAATAAATGTTTAATAGTTTCACAGCTTGCAAATCCTCACTGCTCTGGATCGATGATATTACATATGAGGAGCTAAGCCAGAGAGAGTAAAACCAAAAGTATCCACCTCCTTTGGGTGCCCAATTTGAGATGCAAAAGACCAGATTTTTCAGAGTAATTAAATGCATTAGATAGCATTTCTTATATTAAAGAACAGCTGCCCTTGGCTTCAGTTGCATTTCTGAAAAACAGGCTTCAGGATCTTAAGCTGGTCACCTAGAAAACACATTTAATGACCACGTTTAAAAAGTGTGGTTTAAGGGATTGATTTAACGTCATGCAAGCGGAGGCATGAATAAAATGCAGTTCTCCAGAGCAGCATTCAATTGTCCGTATGCTGGGGCACTTCTTGAGCTTCTTGCAATCCCCTACCTCTTTCACTTCTCACCTTCCAACTATTGCAACAAAGTAGTGCTGAGAGGTAATCCATGTTCTGTTACACAGTGAAAAATGGAATTAGTTACTGAATACAGAGTCATTCTTCCAAGTATCTAGATTCAGAGTGATTCCTGAATACCACAGTTTCAGGAATAAACAAATTAAAGAAAAAAAATTGACTGGTAAAATGGAGCACCTGAAAGTGTCATAAAGATATCTGGAACAGGTTTAGACTCATGTTGGAGGCAATCCCTTATTCAAGGATGATCTCTACCACAGCTCATTGATAGGTCTTGAGGTGACTTAAGATTTTAGTCTTTGAACCACAGACCCATCCACAGAAATTGCAGGTCTTTCTTCAGGGGAGGGGAGGCCATAGGTCAGGATTTTCTTCATTTTCCTTCCTCCGTTCTCTCTTCTCTGCTTTGAGGGTGAGATAATTTATCTTGAAATGGGCAGCCACTTGGTTGAAGTTGTGGAGCCATCGGAATCAGCCAGCACCCAACTTCTCCCAGGTCTTGATGTCAATATCCATTTTCTTGAGGTATGCCTTCAGTGTGCCCTTGTAGTGTTTCTTTTGGCCACTCTGATGAGGCTGTTACTGACCTGAGAGTAGAGCCCTTGTTTTGGGAGTCAGTAGTTGGGCATCTGCACACAGTGAATTTGGTGTTTGAGGATCACCGACTCAGTGCTGGTAACATTGGCTTCAGCAAGGATGCTGGTGTTTGTGTGGTGATCTTCCCATTCCATGTGGAGGAGTTTCTGGATGCATTGTTGGTGATGCCTCTCCAGGCTCTTGAGATGACGATAGTAGGTCATGCACATTTCATATCTGTAGAAGCAAGTGCGGATGATGGCTACATTGTAGACTTGGATCTTGGTGTCTTTCTGGAGACAGCAATGAATAAAGACATGCTGGAGCAATTTCCCAGATGAGGCACTTGCACACCTTATCCTGTGCTGGATCTCCTCATTAACGTTCACTGTCTAAGAGAGGTGGGTACCAAGGTAGGGGAAGTGTTTGACTACCTCCAGGGTCTTTCCCTCAGTGATAATTTGGGAAGGGAGAGGCTCATATTCAGTGCCTGGGGCAAGCTAATAGCTCACTTTAGTCTTCTCAATGTTGAGAGACAGGCCCAAAGTTTGATAGGCTTTTCCAAAAAGAAAAAGCATGGCATGGAGGTTTTCCTCAATATGTGCAAGTATAGGGTTACCATATGTCCAGGTTTTCCCAGACATGTCCTCTTTTTTGGCCCCTTGTCCTTGTGTCCAGATGGGTTTTTGAAATGCGAGCAAATTTGGGATTTTGCTTTGCCTCTGCTCCTCCCAGGCATGAGCAGCTGGGATGCTTCGGGCTGGGAGCAGCGGGCAAGGTAATTGTTCTGTTAGGGGTCACATGCTCTGTGTACAAGACCTGGGGCACCAGCAGGGGCTGTAGGTCAAGAGTGAGGGGCACTGTCAGGGCTGAGGGCAGGGGCTGGGATTCTGGCAGGACTTCCTCAGTAAGAGGTAGAAGACAGTTCAGGAGGATGTGGGATTTTCCCTGCTTTGGAAAGAAAGACAATACCTTTATAGCTCCCACGCACAGACTGATTGTCTTACATGAAGATACTGGCGTTCCTTAGATACACAGGGATCTGCTTAGGATAAATTTGTGGAATTTCAGTACCAGTTCCTCACCACCAGCCTTGTAGATTTCAGCAGGCATGCTGTCCAGTAGCCTTGTTGTTCTTGGTTGCTTTGATGCCATGCCAGACTTCTTCTAGGATAAGGAGGGTTGGCAAGGGATCCCTTTTCAAGATATTGGGGGATGGATGCTATGGTAGTATCTGTCACAGTGGACTCGTGGTTTAGAAGTGCCACAAAGGGCTCTTTCCATCTAGCTTTGAGGAGTGTTGGGCCACCCGTGATTGCAGGAAAGTAGAACTGTGGGAAACTGGGGCATAGATGGCCTTTGTTGCCAGATAAGAGCTATGTCTCTCATATTTGTCAGCACAGAGTTGGATCTCTTTAGCTTTATTTTGCAACTACTGATTTTTCTGATTTCCTGAATCCTCCTTTGAGCTTCAGCTTTGGGGAGCTCATATGTCTCCTTCTTCTGCTGAGAGAGGCTCATTTTGCTTGGCAAGATGACACCTTTTCTCTTCCAGTCAAGGAAACTTTGGATCTCAGTGTCACTCTTATTGTATTGGTGTTGGTGTTGATGCGGGTATGGCCTGTGCTGAATCCATTGGCTATATAGTTTCATAGTTTATAGTTTCATAGTTTCTAGGGTCAGAAGGGACCTGAGCAGATCATCTAGTCTGACCCCCTGCCATGGCAGGAAAGAGTACTGGGGTCAAACGACCCCAGTAAGGTGGTCATCCAACCTCCTCTTAAAAACCCCCAGGGTGGGAGCCTGCACCACCTCACTTGGAAGCTGGTTCCAGACCCTAGCCGCCCTGACCGTGAAGTAGCGCTTCCTGATGTCCAACTTAAACCTTCCCTCCACCAGCTTGTGACCATTGTTCCTGGTCACTCCTTGCAGCGCTCGGGGGAACAGGGACTCCCCCAGCGCCTGCTGATCCCCCCTAACCAGTTTATAACAGGCCACAAGATCCTCCCTCAGCCTTCTCTTTTGAAGGCTGAACAGGTTGATGTCCCCCTACCTTTCCTCATAGGACCT